TGCCGATATTGAAATAAAACAAACGACCTCACACATCTATACACGTCAGCTGGTGGTCTAATATACATTCACACATATGGTAATGATATTTATACAATTATTACGTAATGCATAACAGTAAATCTTCTATTTTTTGTGTGAATAAAAATTCATTAATGTGAATAAAAAATATCAAATGAATTCTTATTTGTAAAGCCTCAAAAACATAACTAATGAACAGAGGAAAATGTTTAGTTTATGCCATAATACCATATTGTTTATTCGGACCCTATTTTAAATTGGAATATTTTTGAACTTTGTGTTAAATTGGGCCAATTAACAATTTCCGATCACTTATTTTGTAGTTGAAACAGTATGACTTGGCATTTTCCTGTTGCTCAATCGATAGAACAGAGGTAAACTAGTAAATAGCTAAGAATTTGGTTGATTGGAATAATGTAATTGCCTAAAATGGATCAAAGTCGGCAAAAATCGCCGATTCGTAAACATCGCTGACACAATCAAAATCGCGAGACATAATTCGTCAATTTTCCACCAAATTTCGTACTTTTTGTTTTATTAACTCACAAAAAAGAATTCTCTACTATTTCATAAAAAAAATAACAATTTTTTTTTTTTTAAAATTCCTTTGGACGACTGGTCGTGACTCCAATTTGGGACTTGGAACCCTGAAAAGGTTAAAACTGATAAAAGATTAGCAAACCTGCCACATGAAATGTGTAACATTAAATATGGGGATGAACTTGCATGTGGTATGTAAATGAACACTCAAAAATGTGGTTAGACTAGGAATATTTGTCTGCTGTTAGTTACTATTTTAAATTGCATATGTACAATCAAAAAAAAAAAAAAAAATTTTAATATCACACCTTTCAAGATTAGTTAAAAATTATACTGTACATCAGAAAAAACTAATTTTACAAATCCAATACACTTTTAGGATGTATTGGATCTATAACTTTTTTTTTTTTTTTTTTTTTTTTGAAGTGTCAACAGTCACTTGTGAAATCCAAATTTATTTTGGCATATTGCAATTCACTATACACTTTGAAAGTTGTGGCATGGACCCCAAAAACTTGAGTAAAACATTGAAATATTGTAAACTATTGCTATGTACCAATAAAAAAAAAAATTTATATTTTCATATTGTAGTTTAATATTAATGTTTTGCAATTACATTTGATAAGCCTTGATAAATATTATGGAATGTTAAAAAAAATTTGTAGGGAAGGGGGGGGGGGAATGCCACTACACCTGAAGAGGGAGATATATAAAAATATTCTCACTTCAAAATACTGTACACTACACTGTTGTATCGCCATATTTTAAGACTATATTAGCTCTGCTACTAGTACTGGCTCCCCTTGGGCATTAAATGCAAGATTCCGGGAATTAGGATGAACGATGGTCGGTTCATCAGGAAGTGGCCTGTTAGCCAAGTCAGGAGGCTGGAAGGTAGACCCAGTGAAAGATGTTCTTAGCTCATGGTAATCACCATTCTGAAAGAAAATAAAAAATTATTTAAAAATAATTAAATATTTCAAAGCATCACATACTTTGTATTTCTATATAAAAATGTTTAAGTTATTACTCGTGAAACTGTAATAAAGATCAAGATCTTATTTCTTTGTAAAGGTACAATTTTTTGGTTTTGCTAGTACAAAGAAAGCTATCATGCTGGGGCACTTCAGGCAGATTAATTCAATAATACGATTGCAAGCAAACTATTGAATAGGCTAGGATTGAACTCGTGGCAGAGTCCTAAAACTGTCCCTGTGCCATGGGTTTCAAACCTCACCCATTTCTTTGATTTAGATAAATTATTCAAATTTACATTCATTTTGTTTTGTATACTGCTATAAGCCTGATCTTATGTTTTAAGTATGCAGCCTGTATATATGTTTGAGATCAATAAAAATGCACAGTACACATGCATTTCAATTTCTGCCGGAGCAAAAATATTCATGTACAATCATCCTAATTCTACAGCATTATGTCAACAGCATACTTTGTGGTGTAAACATATACAGCATTTCTAAACAACATTTATAGGCAGGCTCCCCCTTGCACATAGGCCCTCCTCAATGGCCTATCTCAGATTCAGCAGGCTTACGAGATAGAGGACAAACAGGCTGGGCTCTTCCATTACTTAAATACAACGCTCTATAACAGCCTACAGTTGTTTATAAGAAAGACATATGCATTTGTTAACTTGTATAACCTAAGAGTTTGACTCTAGGCTATTAAAAATCTCTGACAGTGTAAAATCTTTTTCCCCTTGTTTTCATGTGACTCATTAATACTGTTGACATCCAGTCACTTATGTTTCACAAGCTTTTCTCAAGCCTGCTGCTTTTCTGTGGCTCTCTTGACAAGCCACAAGTGATCTCTCAAATGTGGGTCAGTTTCCATAGACCACTAAGTAGCTAGTTTCAAATTCGTCCAATTCCCACAAATGGAAAAGTCCTCACCTACTCTGACCACATCAGTCTCGACTGTTTTCCTCTATGATCTTGACAGAGCCCTCTACTTTCTGTTTCAGTCCTCTTGCTGCTAAGCAAAGTTAAGTGCAGTTCTTCCATCCATCACTGAATGATCTACATAGGTTCAGTGCTGTTGTAGTCTGAGCAAGCAATGTTTTATGAATGTGCCACAAGGAAACTGTTAGCCAGACTGGTGGGTAGAAAGCACAGTACTGCACCTCTAAAGGAGGGTGAGGATGTTTGCAATTTGAGACCCATCTGACTGTCAGCCCTCCCATGCCCTGCAGACAGGATTGAATGACAGTGAAAGTTTACCTATTCGTGGTGGACCTGGGTAGTCGCTACTCCAGGGGACACGGGGACCCTGAGCTAGGCTGGATGAGCAGATGGTCCAGAGTAGTAATATAAAACATAATCATTGCTTTCCTCCAGGATCTTCTCCCAGCTTCAGTGTGCCCTGCTGTAACCCGAAGTTGTAGTGAACGCAATGTACCTCCATGTGACTTTTGGATAGTTGCGTATGTATTGCTTGGCCATCCACTGGTAGTATTTAAAAATACAATGCACATAAACATTCCTGTTAATAGTTTTTCATTATCATAATTTCAATTATATTTTTTTTTCCAATTACTGATAGGAAAATTGTTCACAGAATATAACCGTAAATGTGAATAAAAACTTACTACAAACAAAAATTTGAGAGTAAATGCAACATGAGGCACTGTGCCAGCCTCTTCAGTCTGATTTCACTTGGGAAAAGTCATTCCAAAGGAAAGATGTTAGCTCCAGCACAATAAAATAAAGTATTTATAAATTAAAAATTGTATACTGTATATGAAAGATTGTATCGAAAAATCTATGCATGTTAATTTTTCAATTTTAAAAGCCCATAATCAATATACTTTCCTTATCTTCCCCTTTGAACCATTAGCTGACATTGATACCAACCATCCCTGCTAACTCTACTAAGTTTGATGGTACAATATTATATATAGAGCAGTTCAAAAGCTTTCCATTTCAATGGGGGGGGGGGGCGGGTGGATAAAAAATATTCAAGAAAAAACATACCAAAGATATCATCAATAGTCACATTGAGTCCTTTGGTACTGTTCAGTCCTATTTTGGAAAGCACCTCGTTTGTATGACCCCTTTAATAAGCCTCACATCTGATCTACAGTAACTCTTCTGTGATAAATCAATTCTGTGACCTACGCTCGGAGTCATTCTGCATCCTACAGTGACACTTGGACCCTTACTTGTTTGGAGGAATATTTACATGCGTTTGTATCGACTCGCTCAATCACTTGCAATGGTGAGCTCCGTTCTTCGTACATCTTGAGTTCCTCTAGAAAAAGTTAGATCAGTCAGACTATTTGCAAGCATTGTGTAACTAAATTAATCTTTATATGTACATAAACAGATTACGAACAGGAGAGATACAAAGTGTCATTCATGGTTTTCAACATGCTCATAAGTATATTATCCAGGATAAGTTATCCCCCACTTTCTGCCTTAATACCAAGAAAATAAAAGCAATTCAGTCTAATGTACACTTTGAATCAAAATACAAAATCATTCTCCCCTTTTATTTATTCAGTATTTGCCATGGAGTGGTTTTTAAAAAATCTTTTTTCACATTACCTATTTGTAATCATTACCAGAACTATATAATTATCTATTAGAATGTGGAGATAAGCTCTAGTCATTTTTCCCATCTTAGCTTTAGACTATTCATTCACCTTTATCAATACGCCTGTTGCAAGTATTTTAGGTTTATCCCACTCCATCCCCTCCTGCCATTAATGGGTCTGTTACTGCCTTTCCCAGTTTTCCAGTTTCATAACACTGCTTTAACCGGGGGAGTTAACCTCCAACACTTATGACCATTCCTAAAGTCTGTCTACATTCTCCTGCAGTCTTCTTCCATCCTACTCAGTTTGTATTCTTCTAATTATTTTAGCCTTTACAAACAAGGACGTGTATGTCTTTTACCTTATGTCAATAATATACACTAGGAACACTATGAATCCTAACAGTGATCACTCTGGGACTCCTAGTTACTAGAGGTAATTTACAAACACTGCACTTAATATAAATTATGATGCACTTAACCCGTAAACGGTCCAAGCAGATCTACGTTCACATGTGTATTGCTACAAAAGTAGATCAAAGTTTTTTTACACATTTTCAAATGTAGAAAAACAAAAAGATCTACTTTTTTACATACTTTCAAGTGTTGAAAAAACGTATATATACGTTTGGACCGTTTACGGGTTAAAGCAATGTCGTTTCCTTGTACATAATTACAATGACCTATTGATGTACATCAGTCTGAATTCAAGATATTTTTGTACGAGAAACTGTCGAAGACATAGGGTGAGTAACCCATTTATAATTTGACTCCAGTATTAAAAACCAAAAAAAGAACATTCATAATTTGCAGAAATGGACATCAAAAAATTTCCTATTACATAATTATATAATTAATGCCATTAGTTACAGACATACAGTACTTACTGGTCAACCCAAAGAGGGTTTTCAGTGGTATTCAAGCCTAAATCTTCATCAATGTTACGTTTGATAAGATGCTCACTGGATCTGCTTGGTGTCATCACCCTGAGGATATACATCATGAAAATAAAAAAAATAAAAATAAAATTTGGAGATACAATATATTCCACCTTATTTTATATATGTACTATTTCTTATATCTTAAATTAGCCACACAATGTCCAAACCTCCCTCTTATGCATACATATTCTTTCCATCATTTTGTACTTCCTTCTGTTATCCATATACTGTACATCCACAGCTGTCACTGAAGGCAAGAATAGTTCTGATATGGTATGCTCTAGCAGGGCTTCACATGATGAAATCAAAGGGAAAACTGGGCCTTGTATCATATTACCTTTGCTTTTGATATACCTTTGATGAGTTTCAAGAGTTTTTCCACTCCCAGAGCCCAGCCATAGGCCAGGCTTGGTCTATGCTTACCTGCATATTCCTAATTGGCATAAAAAAAATAGTAACCCCTAGAGTGATTTTAAGCCATTTTGAAAATCCACCCAAAATTGGCTAAAAATAGTAAAAATTTATATGCTAACAATGGGAAATACGCATAAAGTAACAACTGTTTTTTGGATTAATTACTGTCCACAAACATGAAATAATCCTGTATATAAGTTTAGTACCATTCAACCTTGCTGATTGCCTATATGCTTGCCTGTGGTCACATTTGTTTGAGGATCACTTCAAGTGAATATCCCAGAAAAACAATACAAAATATGATTGATTATTAAAAGGGAAATATTTATATTTTCCTGTTTGCTGGACTCGAGTCCTGGAGGCAGGAAGTGCAGTGTCTGCATTCTAAAGGAGAGGTTTGGGGTATTTCCTCTTTAGTGTGACATCTAAACTGTCACATCTCTGCACCGCTGGCAAGATGGTGATGGTGTCAATGATATTGAAAGTTTCTTTTTTGGGTCACCCTGTCTCAGTGGGAGATGGCAAGTGTGTTAAAAAAATAAAATAAAGCTTTCATTGAAGGTTAGAATAGTTTCAATGAGTATGTTGGCAAATTATAACAAACCATGAAATCAAAGGGAAAACAGGGCCTTGAATAATGCTAAAATTATTTTTTTTTAATTATTAAATACATATTTTTAATCAGCATAAAAAGTACCTCTGGGGTGATTCTAAGCAATTTTTAAAATCCAACCAAAATTGGCTAAAAATGCTGAATTAGTTGTGATTTTTTTTTTTTTTTTTTTTTGGGGGGGGGGGTCCTTCTCTAAAGATGGGAAATAGACATGATGCAACTGCTTGTTGGATCAATTGCTTCTCACAAGCATGGAAAAAATCCTGTATATACAGTAGACAACTACCTTTCATGCAACATACATTCCAGAAAAATGAAGGTGTACATGAAAAGGTGACAGTTGACAACATACCATGCCACCACAAAAAAAGCCAAACAACTTTTCTTATAAATACACTGTTCACCTAAAAAAGTCTCCACTAGATGTGGCAAGCATACACAATGAAAGACTCACCATTGTTTTAGTAGCTGATGCAGCAACACACAACAATGAAAGACTCACCAGTATCTGAGGCAGCAACACAACAAGAGACTCACCAGTATCTGAGGCAGCAACACACAACAATGAAGGAGATGAAACCAATGAAGAGTACAATCATAAGAGCGATGAGTCCAGCCAGGCGTGCATCCACCTCTTCTTCAACCGTTTCAATCGACGCTGGCTAAAACAAAATACAGCATACAACAAGTTGCCTTCAAAATAATAAGAATTACATAGGACAGTATTGCTCAAGTTACTAAAATTTCAGGTATGTTTCATTTTGCTCTGTTTTATTTTATTAAATGAGCACTGGGGACTTGAAATTCTGTTATAAGGACATAAAATTATACAAGACTGTTTCTCAAACTTAAGAAAACTAAGTTTTATGTTTCACATATTACAAGAGTATTATTAGTCGAGTTTAACATCTTTCTTATGCACCCAATACCCATTCTGTGGGCGGTAGTCAAAGGATTATAGAGGTACATAATGGGTCCAGGGACTGGGTCACAAAGTTTCGATTAGAGATGTGTAAATTTTATTATTTGGTCTTCAAGTGAGAAACTTACATAACATTTCAATGAAGAAATTTTGTTTTGTTGACTTATTGGTGAGTGTTGCATATCCCTGATCAAGTCTCTTCAGTACCATGTGTACAGGCATCACTTGTTCAGTCTGATTCACAATGTGGACCAGCATGTCAGCCCTACAAGGCACAGAAAGCTAACATTAAATTTTATCTTAGCGATTTTTTTTGTTTGTTTAGTAATTTTTTTTAAGGGACTTAAAATACTGTGTAGCCATTTAAAATAAACTTTCAGTATTAAATACAATTTATGGCCAAGTTTTAAGCTTATCTGAAATTCATAACTTTTCTTACCTTTGTCACGAGTAACTGTATATGTCAGGGTTTACATGGTATCTGATTTCATCCACGACTGCTATGCCTTTTGTAACCTGTTGTTAAAGTAATAATAATCATGATTTTCCAGTGTTGCAAAAAGGTAATTTTTATGCAAGATATTTTATAAAGAATAAGCAAGATGATAAAAAACAAAAACTATAACTATCTTAAAACTTAATGAAACAATCTTGGACTTTCCAAAATTCTTCAAAATAAAAAAAAAATGGTTCAGTGTTTCTTTTTATTAAATAATAAATCAAATTATACATTATTGTATAGCAAATTAAAGCAATCAGCATTTCCAGAGTAGAGATACACATTCACTCTCCCTAATGCACCTGAAATTGGAACACCATGAGGAAAATTTTGCTTCTGTAACTACAGTTAGGTAATTACCTGCGAGAGAGTAGCAGCTATGTCTTCTTGATGATGCACCACTTCTTCAGGAGGTTGAGCTAGTACAACTCTCACTAGGTCCTCCCTCTCCCAAACCCAAACCTGATGAAATGCTATTTTTTTATCAAATTTACATCGAACAAGGAGTTGGGACTCAGCATTGCTCTTCTTGCCTCTTTAAAACCCTAGTGCTGTTTTAACACTGAACACTAGAAATGCAGCAATAATGAATATGATGATGATGGATTATTTTATGAAGCTACTCCTTTAAGAATGGGACTCAAGAGGGCATAAAAAAGCCATTTAAGGATAACTATAATGTAGAATATGTCACCAGGCATAAATGACATGAATGGCAGACAAGCCAAACTGTGCAAAAATGAAGAGATCGGTAAATTCTAAAACAATAACTAACATAAAGATAACAGTAATACAGCTAAATGTTGAAAACCTGGCATATGATAGCATCAAGTTATGACTAAACAAATGAGCAACTACTTAAGATAAATGTTTTAAGTGCCAAGGCTGTATGATCCCCTTGGTGGTCATACAGATACTAAAAACAAGACAAACAGTAAAGGAGAGAAGCCATAATACACCCTCTTCCCAACTCACATTGACGGTGCACGTGGCAATGCGGAAAGGTGGCGCTTCCTCCTTGGCATGTAACAGGAGAAGAAAGCGGTGGCGCCTATACTGTGACATGAGGGAGGCTGTGGTGAGCTTGCCATCTTGAGTGATGTTGAAAGGGGATGGAATAATGGAGCCAACAGCCCTAGATTCTCCTGTATTACAAAAGATAAGTAATAATTTACCTTCATAAAAATGTGTAGAATTTATTTGCCTATTAGCACTTTATGCTTGTGGAGGGAAATGATGTAAACACAGACACGATGGTAAAGATTACAAATGTAGGTGGAACGCAATCCTTCCCTGACAATGTTATCACCCACTGTGTGGGAAAATGTTGTCAATACAAACACATTACACTGCAGTTGTCTTCAACCACTTAATACTGTATTCCATTATGCTGATCAGTGTCTTGAGACAAATGAAACAGAATAAATGGTAAATGCTTTATACAAAGGGTATTAAACTTAGTCCTCCAAATCAATGCAAATTAAGCCTAACTCGTAATTTTTTGTGGTCACAGCTTTTCAACCCCTTGAGCTTAGATACATCTCAAAGTAAAATTATAATTTAATTCCTTAAGTTCTGGGACTGCAACACAGTACTTGAAATTATAGTTCTGTGATATTATGTAAAATATGTCTTATTCTTCAAGATAATAAGAATCAGGTGATATTAATGATGTTTTTTCTAATTGACTTAGATTTTTGCAAAAGAAAATTATAGCTGTAAACAAAATTATGTGCATTGTGTTAATGCTGCTCACCAGGTCTGAAAAGATTAGATGCTCGAATAGAGTAGCTGAGAGTTCCATTTAAGCCAGCATCCTCATCAACAGCACTCACCATTCTCACAAATCTATCAACTTCGGCTTCGTAAGACACTCCTGCAACAGGAAGATGAAACAAGATTAATGGCTTGACGAAGCTGCTGGAGAGCAAAATGCTGCCACAATAAAATGCCACACCAGTTGCATCTGTGCAACTGATGTGGCATTACAGAAACTACATGACTGTCACAACACACCTGCTACAAGTTATGCTAAATTAGAGGACCATCAAGTCACTGCAGATGGAAAGATTCAGGAGTGACATGACCATATACAAGATACTCAAGAGTATTAATACGGTAGAGAAAGACAGACTGATATGGTAAGGACTAAGGCATAAATGTGAGCTGAACACCAAGGTCAGTTACTCAGATAATAGGACATTTATGGCAAATAGCAAGTTAAGAAGTGAGGCTATGAGCCGAGACCGTGAAGTGGAATATACACCTGAACCACATACGTATAGGTAAGTACAATACAAAAGGAAAAGAACCTCATAAGAACGATAAAAACAAGGAATTACTAATAAATTTCAATGTAGAAGTGGAATGAACTAGACAAGCAGGAGTAAGCTTCACATATTGGTTTATTTATTAAAAATATGATAAACCTAATTCTTGTTAGCCAATAGAATGTCAAGAGTAGAGATTAAGGCCTAGATCCTAAGTGTATACAAACTCAAACATAATTATAAAAGGTTAATTATATGCAAGTCTATTATGGTACACTACTCACAGAACACAGATATATTTTATAATAGTTACAGATCTCAAATTGTGATTCTTACCTGCATAGTAAGCTTCATGAATAAATCGTGGTGGTGTATCATTTTCATCTTCAATATTGACAGTGATAATTGCCAATGTTGGATCATTTTCATCATACACAACTTCTTGATCAGGGTCTACTGTGAAGTTAGGGTCGTTCGTAGCCTTAACCACAAGAGTGTAGGAGGACTGCTGCTCACGATCAAGAACAGCATTAGTGTAAAGTTTACCATGAAGTTTGTCCAAGTAGAAGCTCTCATGAGCATTACCAGTGACCAAGTAATAGAAAATCTTGGCATTGATTCCAGCATCAGGATCTTCAGCAAGAAGTTGACCTGTATTGAGAGTTCCTAAGTTAATCTTCAGTCACATATGACCTCTGTACCTTCAGTACTGAGTATTTTTGTATATACAGTGCATCTTTCTTCTTTCAATACACTGGCCATCTCCCACCAAGGCAGGGTGGCCAGGAAAAGAAAAACTTTCATCATCATTCACCCCATCACTGTCTTGCCAGAGGCACACTTACACTACAGTTATAAAACTGCAACATTAACACCCCTCCTTCAGAGTGCATACACTGTACTTCCCATCTCCAGGACTCAAGTCCAGCCAGCAGATTTCCCTAAATCCCTTCATAAATGTTACCTTGCTCACACTCCAGCAGTACGTCAAGTCTTAAAAACCATTTGTCTCCATTTCCTCCTATCAAACATGCTCATGCATGCTTGCTGAAAGTCCAAGCCCCTTGCATGTAAAACCTCCTTTACCCCATCCCTCCAACCTTTCCTAGGCTGACCCTTACCCTGCCTTCCCTCCACTATAAATTTATACACTCTCGAAGTCATTCTATTTTGTTCCATCCTCTTTACATGTTCAAAATACCTGCAGCTACTACTACATTTTTATATAGTTTGTGGCTATAATACACTGATCTCAGAACATTAATCGGATAATTTGTCAAAATACACTTGCTGACTATGTGTACAGAAATTTTATCAAGTTTGTTTCTAAATAAAATAAAAATTACTTATTAAAAAGCATACAAATTAAAAAAAATAAATAGCATGATCCCATCACCCATCTAGGTAGTAGTTGTAGACAGCAACCGCCGCAGGGAGGTACTACCATCCTGCCAATTGAGTGTAAAACGAAAACCTGTAATTGTTTTACATGATGGTAGGATTGCTGGTGTCCTTTTTTCTGTCTCAAACATGCAAGATTTCAGGTATGTCTTGCTACTTCTACTTACACTTAGGTCACACTACACATACATGTACAAGCATACCTATACACACCCCTCTGGGTTTCCTGCTATTTTCTTTCTAGTTCTTGTTCTTGTTTATTTCCTCTTATCTCCATGGGAAAGTGGAACAGAATTCTTCCTCTGTAAGCCATGCGTGTTGTAAGAGGCGGCTAAAATGCCGGGAGCAAGGGGCTAGTAACCCCTTCTCCTGTATGAATTACTAAATTTGAAAAGAGAAATTTTTGTTTTTCTTTTTGGGCCACCCTGCCTCGGTGGGATACAGCCAGTTTGTTGAAAGAAGAAGATCCATCACATACAGTATATATAGCAAAAGACATTCATCAGCATTTCCATTATTACATACCAATAAGTGTGTGTTTAGCAGTATTTTCAATTACATTAAAGCGGTAAGCTTGAGGCACACTGCTCTTGTGAAACTCTGGGCGATTGTCATTAACGTCTTCCACAAGTACCGTCAAGAACCGCAACGTTTCATAAGATATTGGTGAACCTTGATCCTTGGCCACCAATACCAACTGTTGAGACAGACACTTAGATTAGCTTAGGTATGAGGCATTATATTCAATATAACACATGTACATAATCACATCAGCTGGATTGGGGCTGCAAATATCTAAACAAAGTGAATAATTGCCACCATGGCCAAAATCCAGATTAGTGAACTAATTGATTTCTTACTGTTTCCATCTGTTTGTGTAAATGTGTGGTTGTCTTCCACATCTGTATATTAGGCCCAGAGTGCCATAACAGAGTCTGGTAACTTGAGCCTTGTAGCTCCTATCTTCCCTATGCCTACATTTTTCTCTTGTGAGAGTTTCACATTTTTTTCTGGCACACATCACCTCATTTGGAAAAGTAAATTAAATTAACTTCTCACCTCATATTTGGATTGTTTTCGCACTGTCAAGTACAAGTTTCGTAGTAAGCAAGCCAGTAATGGGGTCCAAGTGGAACTCTGATGTGTCTTGAAGGTTCTCTTCCCCAACACGCAAGTGATAACGCACCTCCCCATTTGCTCCCAAGTCCTTATCCTCGGCTTCAACTGCTATTACCTCCTGCACTGCTGAACTCCAGTTCTGAGACAAATTAACAAATAGATATAGTACAGTATCTCACACATTAAGCATCTGAATAATACCTGTACTGTATAATATTAATATATTGTACAGTATCATTTTTTGATATACAGCAGAACCCCCCCGTATTCACCGATTTTGTATCCAAAGTTTCATTTATCTAGTTTACTGTGGCTCAAAAATACCTCTTAATTTTCCACAATAATGGCCCCAAATCACAAAAGCAGAGAAGCTATGAAGTGCTTCCCATCAGTAAAAAAGTGATAATTCTCCACTTACTGTGCAAAATTTATCAATTAAAATTTATAGGTATGTATAAGACTTATATATAGGGTGTGCTACTATCCACAGTTTTGGTATCTGCAGCAGGTCCTTGGAATATATCCCTGGCAGATATGGGGGTCATAATGTACACAGTTTCTCTACTTGTCACCTGTACATGAATGGTATACAATACCAACAAGATGAAAATTAGACACATGAGCCAGAAGTTGCACATGTGTCTTAATTTTTTACTTGTCACCTGTTTATTACTAAGCAACTGGTAAAAATGATGGCACTGGCATCCTTTGCCTCCATCACAACTGTTTCTTCTAAACTTCTTTCCACATGAGCATTCTTCTTCTTCATGACTATAGGGAGAACTATCCCATATCACACAGTGCTAAGAGACACTCAAGTTGTCAAATAATGGAAAGCCACTACATTTTAGATGAGCATATAAAAATTAAAATTATAAATTAACATTATTAACTTAAAACAGCTGGATTAAAATCAGCTCATAATGTTCCCCTTTCGTTTACTGAACTACCTATGGTACATGCAACTAAAGTAGTCTGATATTGTTTTTAGAGTGGGGGGGGGGTTTAACTAAGTTGCCAAATGCCTCCATTTGGAAGTGAAAATGCACAAGTAAACGTACCTCTTGGACAAGCACTGTAGCATTGGGCACAGCTGGAGAGATAAACTTCGGTTTGTGTTGGTTCTGGGGCAAGACTGTGATCTCCACTATAGTCTCATCACTGAATTCACCTTCCAGAGGAAAAAAAAATATTAGAATATCAGTAATTTTACAGGCAGACTTGCTATTTTAATATTTATAACATGCCGATATTTACTGTCCTCATGGGAAAGTGGAGAAGAGTCCTTCCTTCATAAGCCATGAGTGTCATAAGAGGCAACTTCAATGCCGGGAGCAAGGGGCTAGTAACCCCTTCTGTATAAACTGCTATATGTGAAAAGAAAAACCTTTGTTTCTTCTTTATCAGGTCACCCTGCTTTGGTGTGGGAGGTGGCCGGTGTGTTACAAAAAAAGAAAAAAATGATGGAAAGCTGCAGTGAGCAGCATCATTCAGTAAATATATATTTAAGATATTAGAAATAATTAAAAATGGTTAATACACCATACTTTATACAACATCTCTTGTGGGTTTAACACTTGGTTTTCATTATAATAATTAACTCTTTCAGGGTTGGTGCCATACTAGTACTGAACAGGTCTCCCTCAACATTCGCATTTTCAACTTTCGCGGGCTTCACACATTCGCGAATTCCCAACCGCCAAATTCCCAGCCACCAAATCATATTTAAGTTTACCGCCATGAGTCCTTACTACCCTCCCTCTGACCCCTGCAACTGGCAGCCAGCCCTCCCACCACTGTGTGGTGAGTGTTTTGTTTATTATTTGCTATTAAACTACAGTATAAATAATGTAAACCCATCCATGACTACATATTAGAATGGTTATTCAGACAGGTATTGGAAAATGACATCATGTGTTTACTCTTGAACACAGCAAAGAATCAAACATTTCTGCTACTGCTAATAATAATAATAATAATAATAAATAAATACGATAGAATTGAAGAAGGAAATTGTACAAAAATACATAAGAACATAAGAACATAAGAAAGGAGGAACACTGCAGGAGGCCTGCTGGCCCATACTAGGCAGGTCCTTTACAATTCATCCCACTAACAAAACATTTACCCAACCCAATTTTCAATGCTACCCAAGAAATTAGCTCTGATGTGAAAGTCCCACTCAAATCCAACCCTTCCCACTCATGTACTTATCCAACCTAGATTTGAAACTACCCAAAGTCCTAGCCTCAATAACCCAACTAGGTAGACTGTTCCACTCATCAACTACCCTATTTCCAAACCAATACTTTCCTATGTCCTTTCTAAATCTAAACTTATCTAATTTAAATCCATTACTGCGGGTTCTCTCTTGGAGAGACATCCTCAAGACCTTATTAATATCCCCTTTATTAATACCTATCTTCCACTTATACACTTCGATCAGGTTCTCCCCTCATTCTTCGTCTAACAAGTGAATGTAACTTAAGAGTCTTCAATCTTTCTTCATAAGGAAGATTTCTGATGCTATGTATTAATTTAGTCATCTACGCTGAATGTTTTCTAACGAATTTATGTCCATTTGTAATACGGAGACCAGAACTGAGCTGCATAATCAAGGTGAGGCCTTACTAATGATGTATAAAGCTGCAGTATGACCTCTGGACTTCTGTTGCTTACACTTCTTGATATAAATCCCAGTAATCTATTTGCCTTATTACGTACGCTTAGGCATTGCTGTCTTGGTTTAAGGTTGCTGCTCACCATAACCCCCAAGTCCTTTTCGCAATCTGTATGGCTAAGTTCTACATCATTTAATTATAAGTACTAGGGTTATGGGCACTCCCAAGCTTCAGAACATTGCACTTATCTACATTGAACTGCATCTGCCACTTTTCTGACCAAGAATAGAGTTTGTTTAAATCCTCCTGAAGTTCCCTAACATCTACGTTTGAATCAATTATCCTACCTATCTTTGTGTCATCGGCGAATTTGCTCATATCACTAGTAATTCCCTCATCAAGATCATTGATATATATTATAAACAACAACGGGCCCAAGACTGATCCCTGTGGAACGCCACTTGTTACAGATCCCCACTCGGATTTAACCCCATTTATGGACACTCTCTGCTTCCTGTCAGTGAGCCATGACTCGATCCACGAGAGCACTTTTCCCCCAATGCCATGAGCTGCCACTTTCTTTAACAGTCTATGGTGCGGAACTCTATCAAAAGCCTTACTAAAATCTAAGTAAATAATATCAAATTCTTTATTGTGGTCAACAGCCTCAAAAGCTTTACTGAAGAAAGTTAATAAATTAGTTAGACAAGACCGGCCTCTTGTGAATCCATGCTGAGTATCATTAATCAAGCTATGCTTATCGAGATGGCTTCTTATAATCTCAGCTATAATTGACTCTAGTAATTTGCCTACAATTGAGGTCAGGCTTATTGGGCGGTAATTTGACGGTAACGACTTGTCCCCTGTTTTAAAAATAGGAGTTACATTAGCCATCTTCCACATATCAGACACTACACCTGTTTGAAGAGATAAATTAAAAATATTAGTTAATGGTTCACAGAGTTCCATTTTGCATTCCTTAAGAACCCTTGAAAAAACCTCATCAGGACCCGGCGACTTATTTTGCTTCAGTCTGTCTATCTGCCTCACAACCATCTCACTAGTGACTGTGATGTTACATAATTTATCTTCTAGCCCACTGTAAAAATTAATTACTGGAATATTGTTAGTGTCTTCCTGTGTAAAAACTGAGAGAAAATAATTATTTAAAATCAAGCACATTTCATTCTCATTGTCAGTAAGGTGCCCATAGTTATTTTTAAGGGGACCTATCTTATCTCTAACTTTTGTTCTATAGACCTGGAAAAAACTTTTTGGGTTAGTTTTAGAATCCCTAGCAACTTTAATTTCATGTCCCTTTAGCTTTTTTTATCCCCTTTTTAATGTCCCTTTTTTAATGTAAATATTGATTATAAGATGACCCTCCCCTCTTTGAACCCCTAAAATTTCCCTTTTCTTATCCCCTAGTAGATTTTTGGATTATTATCCTTTTGGGTTTCATTTCTTTTTGATCTAATTTCTTTAATGGGAAAACCCTTTTGAGCAGATGTATGGGTGTTCAAAAACGCTATTGATCTTTTCTTTCCCCCCAGTCAACAGATGAAAGTGTTCTCTAACCCCCATCGTAACCTCTAAGCAAAAAATCTGGGACGTTACTGAGTTATCGCTACTATCGTACTTCCTTTCAATGCAAAATGAAATTTGATTTGTGGTCGCTGCACCCATTTTCCTCTGAAATTTCTAAATTTTTAACAAGGGATTCATTTTTTTCCCCATAACTAAGGGTTGAAGCAGTGGTGGGGAGTGGTTGACGCACCCTCTTGTGGTTTTGTTTATGTGGAGTATTGTCCCGTGCTCTTCCCAAAAACTTTTCACAAAAATTTCATTGTATTTGGTGCTTTTTAAAGATGTATGGGGGGTAGAGGCAGGGGTGGGGGGGCATGATGGGGCAGTGGTAGAGGCAGTGGTAGGGCAGTGGAGAGGATTTTATAGGGGCAGTGGGTGAAGCAGCGGTTGAGGCAGCAGTGAGGCAGGGGGTAGAGGCAGTGGGTAGGAACATTTGAGGAGTGGGGAGGCAGTGGAGGGGCAGTGGTAGGGAAAAATTTAGAGGCATGATTTTCTAACATTTTGTTATAAAAAATAATAGTCATTATAAAAAACATTTATTATTATTATTATTTTTTTATTTAAAGTTTTTAATATTAAATGTACTATTATTATTTATAACAATATTTTAAAAATTTCCATTTTCCTCACCCCTGCCTTACACCCTCTCCCACCAATCTAAAAAGCCCAAAATACAATAAATTTACTGTGAAATGTTTGGAAGGCCGGAGACAAATTACTCACTCCAGCTAACAAAGCCCCCTGAGGATGGTCAACCCATTCCTCCACCACTGTTTCAACCCTGTTTTTTTGTCAATTTCCTTCTTAAATTTTTTATGATTTATTATTATATTATTATTATTATTATTATTTTATTATTATTTTATTTTTTATTAGCAGTAGCAGACACAAATGTTTGATTCTTTTGCGGGTTTTTCAAGAGTAAACACTGATGTACCTTCCAATCCCTGTCCAAAATCCCATTCCAAATTTGCAGCTAAATAGGTTAATTTTTATACTTAGTTTAATAGCAAAAAAATGAAAAACCCAAAAACACCACACAGCTTGAACCAGTTCAAGAAGGGCCAAAAAGTGTCTGTAAATGAAGCAACAAAAGGGGGGGGGAATGATTTTTTTTTTTTAGCTAAATAGTGAAAATTTCCCTTATCCCTAGTAAGGACCCTCGTATTGTAGATAGTTTTAAGGGACCCTGGGTAGTAGAATCTTTTTAGTTTGATAATAAAAAAGTTATTTTTCAGTAGAATAATAAAAAAATTTTATAACCCTTTTATATTAAAATAATAAGGAAAAAGGGAAAACCCCAAATGGAAAAATCCTCGTCTGTTTTTTTTTGGGTTTTCCCTGGGTTCTTACCAATGCTGCTATGTATGATAATTCATGTAACTGTTTTGTGTATACCTGAAAAATTTACTTCTTATTTACTTACTTACTTATTACTTACTAGTGGTGGGAGGCTGGCTGCCAGTTGGGGGGGGGTCAGAGGGGGGGTTAGTGGGGGCTCGCATGGTGGGGGCGGGGGATTTAAAAAACATATATTTATTAAGCCTTAACGTATGTATTTAGTACAATTTACGACGTTTTCATGTTTTTTGATTGTTTGGTTCGCAAGTTAAGGAAGCAGATTGTATTTTTTCCCTACAAAATATTTGGGGCCCCAAACTTTCCCAAAATTTTTCAACATTTGCGAGGCCCTTTTTGATCCCCTAACCCTGTGAATGTTGAGGGGAAACCTTACTCATAAATTCTAGCCCTTCAAATCAGCGGGGGGAAAAAGTGGTAGGCCTACATTTAAAAAATGGGTCTTTTGGTCAGGGGTGTAGTATAAAAAAAATCCGCAGCACACGTCAAAATAAAAAAAAAAATTAGAGTTTTTTTTGGTTTAAAACAGCGACTCTGCAGTGTTTTGTATTTTATTTAGGGTTGTATTCTATTTTTCCTGGTTCATTTTATAAAAAACAAAGAT